TTATTAATAACTATGTAAACCTCTTTCACAAAATTTAGCCAATACTTTTTCATCTCTTTTCTGTTTCCTTCCTAAGGATAACTCACATGAGTGCTTAATCTGTCTCTACCACCACACCTAACCACATTGAGTCTTACTTTGCCCCTTTTCTCAGAGGGAATAATGTTAAAATTCATGGACCCAAAAGAGGAGATATTAAATTAGATTACTCTTCAAGCAGAACATGAAAGGACTACAGAGAAAACATTGACATCTAAAAAGAATTCATTTTTTCACGTGATTGAGAACATGATTAAGTTGGAAAGTGGAGCATGACAATATGCTCAGCTCTAGAAATAAATGGTGTATGGTGAGAGGAGCATGGTGCTTTCAGGTTTCCTACTGGCCTAGGTTTTCTGTTATCTTTAAAGGACCTGGTATCCCTACTGGTTTCTCTCAGCTGCAATTCTAATACTTTGTGAAAGATATCAGCCAAGGTTGTGGGGTAGCTCAGAGATTCAGCTCAGAGGCCAACTGCTAGGATAATTCACTCTTGTTCAGGAGAGATCAGTCTTTTGTTCTATTCAAGCCTTCAACTGATTGAACAAGGCCTTACCACATTAGGGAGGGTAATCTCAAAGTCCATGAATTTAAATGTTAATCTCATCTAAATGAACCCTTACAGAAACATCCAGAATAATGTTTGACCATATATGGGCACTGTGGTCCAGCCAAGTTGACACATAAAATTAACTGTCTTAAGTTGACTCCTTGTCAACTGTGTACCCATATGTGCCCTCAAACCATACTTAATCTATAAATAAAGACAAAAACAGGCCATTCTTCAAGCTAATATGATACATCCATCCTGCACAGAAGCAAAAGTGTAATAACCCTTTACCTAGAATAGGATGCAAAGTCCTTGGGTAATGTTTGCTCTTCTCCTTGATATCCTGCATTGTCAATACTGTGATGTAAAGTTAGCAGTACTTAAATACTATGATATACATACAATACATTTTATGTTAATGATAAAAGGATAAGAGAAAAAAATGCAAAGATAGTATGCACGTGAATATATATATGTAAATATATATACATACACACAAACACAAACATTTATAAAGAAAGAAGAAATAAATACAATCACAAATACAATCAATTACTGAGAATTGAAGTTCTCATTTCTATAACTGGATTCGTGGTTATATCTGGTGCAGCTTCTTCCACCACACATTTCACCTTCTTTTTGCCCTCAGCAAGCTTCTCTATTGGTAGTCATTCTTTACCTGGTAAAGTGGCCAAAACATTCATTTCTGAAGGGCCTTGGCTTTTAGTATTGTCACACTCTTTTACTTGCCTATAATCCTGTTCCTGAGGCCAATTGCTAAGCTGGGGCTGGATCTGGAGCTCACAGACCCCTCAAGCACATTCCAGACAGGATCACAAACCCTTCACATGCCAGGCTGGTTCATCAGACTCCTCACACACCAGGCTGGGTCACCAGACCCCTCACACACAGGTCTATGAGTTAGGTAACTGGAAAAAAGGTCCTTGGATCTGTAGGTTCGAGAGCGTGGCTGCATGAAGCAGATGCCTGAGGCAGATGCCAGCCAAGGTCACGGCACCATGCAGGTGCACTAACCACCCACACACAACTTATTTACAAATAATGCACCACACCCCCCCCCAACCAGATGGGCAGGAGAGGGGGCCTGATTAAATTATTATATTTTCCCAACAAGTACTCTTCCTGAATTGGAGTTTTGTTGCTTTTCATTGATTTTATTTATTTATTTTTCCAAAAACTTTTTTTGAGATTTAATACACATATTATAAAATTTACCTATTTCAAGTGTAATATGTAATGATTTCAATTCATTTACAAAGTTTTGCAGGATGAAACA